ATCATGAGTTTTGATAAAGTAACATGAGTAAATCATTAAATAATATATAAAATTATATAAAAAAAATTAGTACACAAAAATTACTTTTTAATCATTTTCTTATACAAAATTATTTTAATGATTTCCAAGCACATATGGTAGATAGTACTCCAAAGAAATTTCTTTGCTTCAATCTTAAAATATGACCCAATAAATTTTCCTTCGAGATTAAAGAAGGGCCTGCTAGTGCTAGATTAAAGAAGGCAACTTAAGATAATTAAAACAAGTCCTAAATTTGTCCATCACTTCAAGCTTAATTTTATCCAAAAAAAAAAAGAAAAAAAGAAAAAAATAGACTTCAAATTCAATGTTCAAACAATATCAAGCAAAACCCATGAATCTTAATTATTAGGAGACAATTTTTGTATACAACCATTATTTAAGGATAAATTTTAAATTAAAAAATATATATTATTCTAAAATAAAAGAATAATAAAAAATATTATTTTAAAATGACATAATTTAAATAAATTTTTATTAAAAAGAATTAAAAATCTTTTACTTTTAAAATATAAATTAGATTATTTTTTGTGGGTGTGATATATTAAATTTAGAGTAACAATAATGAATATGAAAGTTTAAGACTAATAATATAATATAAATCATATTATTAAATTAATTAATACGCATGATATTATAAATTTTTTTAAAATAAAAAATTAATTATTAAATAATGTTACCTATCTTTAAATATTTTAAATAATATAATATAAATCATATTATTAAATTAATTAATACGCATGATATTATAAATTTTTTTAAAATAAAAAATTAATTATTAAATAATATAAAATTTATCTTTAAATATTTTAAATAATATAATTTATCTTATATTATTAATATCAAATTTTAATCCTAAATTTTAACCTTATTTATCATTATTCTTAAATTTAAAGCCGCACCGTTAGGCGAACGTGGAAAAGGGGCCGTTGGGTTGAGTGGTGACGCATAGTAAGCTACCAAGTCAAAACGTTGGCCCACCAGGGCTATAGTGGGCTCATCTTAAAAAGAGAAATCAGATATAGACTTAAAAAAGTAGACTTGCAAGCTTGCCGCCAAGGTTTTTAAAACCGGACCGGACCGGCCGGTTGAACCGGTCGGACCGGTACCCGGTCATGAAAACGGTTCGGTTCACATAAGAAAACCGTTT